GATTGTTTTTTAATTGCTGTAAACCGCAATGAGTCGCCGATCCAGGCTGAGATATTAGCGGTATACAAGTGTTTTAAATAAATAAATAAAATAAATAAACTAATAATAATAGTAATAATAAACTTTATTTATACCCCGCCACCATCTCGCCAATGGGGACTCGGAGCAGCTTACATGGGGCCAAGCCCAGGACAACATATTACAGCAAAATAAAATCAAAACATAAACAACAAGCAACATAATCAAAATTACATAGAAGAAAAAAAGTATAAACACAGTAACAAAATAACATTCCAACAAATACATAATAATAATAAAGTAAAATAATAAATGTAATAATAATAATAAAAAGAGTAAAATAATAAATGTAATAAAATAATAGAGTAAAATAATGGAAATCTAATAATAACAGTAATAATAGAGCACCAGGATCGTGGCGCAGCTGGCTGAGTGTCAGCTGCATTAAGATCACTCTGACCAAAAAAGTCATGAGTTCGAAGCCAGCCCAGGTTGGAGTGGGTTTCCAACTAATTGTGTGTAGCCTGTTGTCGACCTTTGCAACCCGAAAGACAGTTGCATCTGTCAAGTAGGAAAATTAGGTACCACCTTAAAGTGTGGGGAGGCTAAATTAACTAATTTATGAGGCCATAAAAAAGACTCCAGCAAAGCACTCCAGCAAAAAAACATGCGGGGAATGCGGAAGTACTTCATCAGTGTCTCAGATGGACGATGAAAGCGACAGCTCCCCTGGCGGCCAGAAAAAGTTAAATAGCCTCTGTGTATGTCTGTATACGTTGTAAGTCAAATTGGCATTGAATGTTTGCCATATATGTACATTGTAATCTGCCCTGAGTCCCCTGCGGGGTGACAAGGGTGGAATATAAATACTGCAAATAAATAAATAATAGAGTTAAATAATAAAAGTAAAGTAATAATAATAATAATAATAATAATAATAACTAGAGTAAAATAATAAATGTAATAATAAAAGAGAAATAATACATGTAATTACAATAATAAATATAGTAAAATAACACTGTTCAACGGAGAAAAAGTTTCGGGCCTGAAAATAGTTGTTCTTTTATGATTTTGGGGTGCTGAAAACAAAAATGACATTTAAAAATGTATATTGGCTCTAGTTTTTATGATATAAGCAATCACGTGATCACGTATGGTTGAAAAACTGCATGTTGCGACTTACACTATGGAAGATTCTAGAATATTCTAGAAAGTTTGATGATGCAGTATTAGTGCCCCCTATATAAGGCCAGACTTTTGAACGGTGAGGGTCAGTCAGTTGAAGACTGAGACAGTATCGTTAAACATCGTTTTACATTGTTCTTTTTACCGTAGTGATGCCTCGCACGTGTGTAAATAAAGCACTATGGAAAAAAGAGATCAAGGCCAATGGACTCCGTCAATGCTGTCAGACTCCTGCTGGAGCATTGTAAGAGACAATCCTTTCCTTGAATACAAAAGAAAAGTCAAGAGAAGCAAACAGGATAGAACTAAAGTCACGATTAAAGCGACATTTAAACTTTCAGACTTTTCAACTGCATTAGACCTACTAATATAGTTTCTTGCTGCACAAACATAAACAATAGACTAATTAAATAAATATTTCTCATGTATAAACTATTGGCAATATAATTTGACTAAAACTTAGTAAATATTCACAGTTTATATACATGCAGTAAGGTTAGGCGTATTATCATAATATTAACGAATCACCAATTGTGGAGAAAATTGAAATAGCTGTTGCATAAAAACCAGAGCCAATTAACACATTTAATTATTATATTTGAATTCAGCATGTTAAATTTATTAAGAAACGGCACATTTCGTTTCCGTAACAGAAAAACTGAAAATTTGTAGAAGTGTAATAATAGAGTAAAATAATAAATGGAATAATAAATAGAGAAAAATAATAAATGGAATAATAATAGAGTAAAATTATAAATAAAGTAGGTGTAGCCATTCATGTCTCTTCACCTGGGAAAGGGAAGGCAACTCTCCTTCATCTGTATTGCGTTTCCATTGCCAAGTCTCTGAGATCGGATCCTGCCTTAGCCTTTGCCGCCAGCAGTACCAGGTTTCTGGGGGAGAAGTGGGGGTCGAACAGAGGGAGGAGCTCACAGTGGAAACCTGTGGGAGGCAACACACCAGGGGTCAGGGTCCTCCTGGTCATGGTTGGAAGTGAGTCTTGCCTGCAGCATCCCAAGCCCCACTAGAACAACCAGTGCCCTCTCCGAGCCCATTCCCCCCACTCCAAAATCCAGGCTCACCTTGCTCTTGCAGGTAGATCATGCGGTCAAGCAGCAGGAGGGTCTCCACCACAGGCGCCAGGAGCAGGGCAAGGCTGAAGAAGGCCACCACCTTCTGCTCTTGGGCCAACATGGCCGCTAAGGATTCAGGCGGCACGTGGGCTAGGCTGGGCTCCATCCCCAGGCGCTCCAGGCCGAGGTGGGCATACCTGCAAAAGGGGAGGGGTGTTGGAGCAAGAGTTGAGAACACTTCCAAAGATAGAATCATAGAATCAAAGAGTTGGAAGAGACCTCATGGGCCATCCAGTCCAACCCCCTGCCAAGAAGCAGGAATATTGCATTCAAATCACCCCGGACAGATGGCCATCCAGCCTCTGTTTAAAAGCTTCCAAAGAAGGAGCCTCCACCACACTCCGGGGCAGAGAGTTCCACTGCTGAACGGCTCTCACAGTCAGGAAGTTCTTCCTCATGTTCAGATGGAATCTCCTCTCTTGTAGTTTGAAGCCATTGTTCATCGCGTCCTAGTCTCCAGGGAAGCAGAAAACAAGCTTGCTCCCTCCTCCCTGTGTCTTCCTCTCACATATTTATACATGGCTATCATATCTCCTCTCAGCCTTCTCTTCTTCAGGCTAGCATGCCCAGCTCCTTAAGCCGCTCCTCATAGGGCTTGTTCTCCAGACCCTTGATCCTCCTCCTCCCTGTGGCTTCCTCTCACATATTTATACATGGCTATCATATCTCCTCTCAGCCTTCTCTTCTTCAGGCTAAACATGCCCAGCTCCTTAAGCCGCTCCTCATAGGGCTTGTTCTCCAGACCCCTGATCTGCTCCCACTTCCCTGTGGCTTCCTCTCACATATTTATACATGGCTATCATATCTCCTCTCAGCCTTCTCTTCTTCAGGCTAAACATGCCCAGCTCCTTAAGCCGCTCCTCATAGGGCTTGTTCTCCATACCCCTGATCTGCTCCCTCCTCCCTGTGGCTTCCTCTCACATATTTATACATGGCTATCATATCTCCTCTCAGCCTTCTCTTCTTCAGGCTAAACATGCCCAGCTCTTTAAGCCGCTCCTCATAGGGCTTGTTCTCCAGACCCTTGATCATTGGAGTCGCCCTCCTCTGGACACATTCCAGCTTGTCAATATCTCTCTTCAATTGAACATAGGATATTTTTCTTGGCTGCTGTGTTAAGGCCTGAATCCCACTCCACCTTGTTTCTGGCCCAAACAAACCTATCTCAGACTTTGCACCTGAACATTTTCCAGGGTCTCCCTCAATGGGCTGCAGTGGCTACCCAAACCCCGCTCTGGCCGTTCTGCTGACCCAAAGGGCCAGCAAAGCCATCGCATGGACTCACTCTTGGAAGGAGAGTATGTGGACCTTCTTGATGGTCTGGACCCCCAACCGCTTCTTGTTTGGGTCCGTAGCCCGAATCACCACCTCCAGCGCGGCACGGAAGCAGTGGGTCCGGAGCGTGGGGCTCTGATGCTGGAGCCGCTGGATGTAGTCCTCAATGGCATGGCAGGCCACTTCACGGGCCTTGTAGGAGAGCCGATGTCCCGGCAGGGAGGAGACCCAGCTGCTCAGTGGGTAGCCCCATTCAGAGGGCTGGGGGCCAGGAGAAAGGCCTGCCTCCTCTTCTGTGGTGAGCTTCATGTAGCAGCAACCGACTGAGGTGATGCCCACTACTTGTGGGCAGCGGGCAAAATACCGCAAAAGGGCCACACTCAGATCACCGCAGGCATGGAGTCCAGTGAGGAGGAGGTTATGGAGTCTAACAAGAGAGTCACTTGGCTCCTCTATGAAGCCCCCATCTCCTGGAGCAGCTTCTGCTCTTCTTCCTTCACAAGGCACTACAGCGGGTGGGCATCCTTCCTTTTCAAAGTCTGTGTCCAAAGCTGACCGTTTAGGGGGCACTCCAGCTGCTCCTCCTTCGCGACTTCGGTCCTTCCCAGGCTGCAGCAAGCGCACAAACTCTGGCCATGGCGCCCTGGGGTCAACCCAGCCCACCACGTGGCATGGCGCTTTGTGAGAGATGCCATCTTGAGCCTGCAAGAAGGAGAGAGAAAAAGAGTCAAGGGCCACATCTGAATCTGACAATACCTGGGCAAATGAAGTTCAACAGTGACAAATGCAAGATACTCCACTTTGGCAGGAAAAACGAAATGCAAAGATATAGAATGGGGGACAATGCCTGGCTCGAGAGCAGTACGTGTGAAAAAGATCTTGGAGTCCTCGTGGACAACAAGTTGAACATGAGCTAACAATGTGATGTGGCGGCAAAAAAAGCCAATGGGATTTTGGCCTGCATCAATAGGAGCATAGTGTCTAGATCTAGGGAAGTCATGCTACCCCTCTATTCTGCTTTGGTTAGACCACACCTGGAATATTGTGTCCAGTTCTGGGCACCACAATTCAAGAGAGATATTGACAAGCTGGAATGTGTCCAGAGGAGGGCGACTAAAATGATAAAAGGTCTGGAGAACAAGCCCTATGAGGAGCGGCTTAACGAGCTGGGCATGTTTAGCCTGAAGAAGAGAAGGCTGAGAGGGGATATGATAGCCATGTATAAATATGTGAGAGGAAGCCACAGGGAGGAGGGAGCAAGCTTGTTTTCTGCTTCCTTGGAGACTAGGACGCGGAACAATGGCTTCAAACTACAAGAAAGGAGATTCCATCTGAACATGAGGAAGAACTTCCTGACTGTGAGAGCCGTTCAGCAGTGGAACTCTCTGCCCCGGAGTGTGGTGGAGGCTCCTTCTTTGGAAGCTTTTAAGCAAAGGCTGGATGGCCATCTGTCAGGGGTGATTTGAATGCAATATTCCTGCTTCTTGGCAGGGGGTTGGACTGGATGGCCCATGAGGTCTCTTCCAACTCTTTGATTCTATGATTCTATGGCTCAAGAGACATCTAAAGCCTGTCGAGGAATAATTTCCCCCCCTAGCAGAAACCATTTAATAAAAGTACTCAGTGATCCAGAGGGAAGAATTAAATAAATTAAATAAACCAAAGGTGTTACATTTCTGGATAATAATAATAATAATAATAATAATAATAATAATAATAATCTGCAATGAGTCGCCCCTGGGCTGAGAATTGCGGTATATAAGCGAAGTAAATAAATAAATAAATAATGGGTTGTCGGTTTTTTCGGGCTATATTTATTTTTATTTATTTACGATATTTATATGCCGCCCTTCTCACCCCGAAGGGGATTCAGAGCGGCTTACAAGATATATATACATACAATATATTATTAACATAGCACAATATCAGTTTTAAATATTGCTACATTGCACTATATCAATTATACTGTAATATTATTAGTAATATTACATGTAATATAAATATATAATTATAATATCATATTATTAGTAGTAGTATTATATTGCATTACATTACAATATTATAAATATTGGTCTAGAGGCATTCTCTTCTGACGTTTCGCCTGCATCTATGGCAAGCATCCTCAGAGGTAGTGAGGTGGATGCTTGCCATAGATGCAGGTGAAACGTCAGGAGAAAATGCCTCTAGTCCATGGCCATATAGCCCAAAAATACCTACAACAACCCAGTGTTTCCAGCCATGAAAGCCTTCGACAATAATAATAATAATAATAATAATAATAATAATAATAATAATAATTCTGGCAGCCCAAGAACAAGCCATTTGAACCAATGCCATCAAGGCCAGACAACAGATCCCAAATGTAGACTCTGCAAGGAAGCAGATGAAACAATAGATCCCATCTTCAGCTGCTGCAAGAAGATTGCACAAACAGACTACAAGCAAAGGCATAACACTGTTGCTCAGATGATTCATTGGAACTTGTGCCACAAACATCATCTGCCTGCGACAAAGAACTGGTGGGATCACAAGCCGGAAAAGAGAATGAACACGCCAAATTTATTTATTCATTTATTTATTCCGGGCCAAGGGGGGACTCAGGGCGGCTTACAACCGGCACAATTCGGTGCCAACAATTCAACAGATAAAATACATAACAATAGCCACAATAGTTGAAAACAATCAATTAATACAATAACAACTAAAAAGCCAATCTAGTGGCCAAATGTTCACCGAGTTCTAAAATCCGTAAGTCCGTTCAGCATTACCATAGTCCTTTCCAAATTCTGGTCGCCATTACCTTGTCAGTCTGCCAGATTACCCAAAGGCCTGGTCCCATATCCATGTTTTCAGCTTCTTTCTGAAGGAGAGGAGGGATGTTGATGACCTAATTTCCCCAGGGAGTGAATTCCAAAGGCAAGGGGCCACCACTGAGAAGGCCCTGTCCCTCGTCCCTACCAGCCTCACTTGTGATAGAGGCGGGGCCGAGAGCAGAGCCTCCCCAGAAGATCTTAAACTACGAGGTGGAGCATAGAAGGAGATACGTTCGGACAGGTACGCTGGGCCAGAGCAGGTACGCTGGGCCCCTGGGACTTCCGGATTCAGACAGACAGAGTTTTGGAGCACAATACTCCTGACCTCACAATCGTGTTAAAAAACAAAGTATGGATCGTCGATGTTGCAATCCCAGGTGACAACAGGATTGCAGAGAAACAACAGGAAAAGCTGACATGAGGATTTAAAGATGGAACTGCAAAGACTCTGGCACAAACCAGTAAAGGTGGTCCCAGTGGAGATCGGCACATTGGGTACAGCGCTTAAAGACCTTGGCCTGCACTTAAACACAATCGGCACTGACAAAATTACCAACTGCCAGCTGCAGAAGGTCACCATACTGGGATCTGCATTCATTATTCACTAATACATCACACAGTCCTAGACACTTGGGAAGTGTCCGACATGTGATCCAATTCAACAACCAGCAGAGTGTCTGCTGTGGACTCATCTTGTTGTGTTTCAAATAATAATAATATTGTACTTTATTTATATTCCACTCTATCTCCCCAAGAGGACTCGGAGCAGATTATAGTATACACTAGGCATGGATAGAGCTGCGTCGGATTATTCGTTACTCATAATAATTTCATTAAAGTTACCTTTTTGAAGTGATTTCAAAGCATTTTAAGAACCCGGAAGTCCTTTTGCCCTTCCAAAGCTTTCTCTGCCATTTTTGTTCCGACTCAGGAAGTGAGTCGGAAATGATTCAGTGTATTTTCAGCCCTCTGGCCTGCTGGCTGAGAAGATCCTTGCAACACAGACCCTCATATCAGACTTACTTGGCTGCAATCCTCCCTGTCTGTTCCCTGCCCCATCTTTGGATCCTCACCTGAGTGCCGTTGTTGCAATCCTTCTCCAACGCTTGAAGTAACTCCTGGTCAAACTTGGCAGCCTGACTGGCCAGCCGGGCATCACCCTCGAGCGCAGTGACTGGCAGATTGAGACCAAAGGCCAGGAAGCGGGAGAGATGGCCCTGGCAGGACAGAAAAGGGAGTCCAGTTAGGAACATCTCACACCATGTAGGGTTTTAAAAGAGGCTGACTAGTTGTGTCAGACTTTTCCACAATCGAGAACCTCAAATGAGGCCTAGTTGAGATATTTTTGAGAAAAGCTGCCAGTACCCCCAAGACCAACTGCTCAGGGAAAATCACGAGATGCTTGGAGACTGCAACAAAGACAAAAGACGGGAGGGCAGCACTTGCAGCAAGCACACCACACACAAGATGGAGAACAAAGGACAAAACTACAAGGCAAAGCTGTGACTACAAGGCAAAGCTTTTATCTTGAGTTTCATAAAACAAAGTTACGCACGCAGAAATCCAAACAGGATCTTTTAAACCTTTTGATTCTCCCTTCCTTCTACAGCACTCTAAACACTATAGAGGCCAATTAACTATTATCCTTAAAGAGGTATCTTTCATATAACAAATAGTTCCCAATTCTCTTCCTTCCTTCCCCCTTCAAAACTCCTAACCCTTCTTCCACATCAAGCTCCTAATTAACACACCCTCCTAATTAACACACCCTAACTAACACACCCTCGCACACAGGGCCAGGCCAGACAGTAGGGAGCTACCACTGTATTTTATATTTTGCCTTTGCTGCCTCCAATTATTTATTAAAGGTTTCTTTTGCTGCTACCAATTTATTATTTCATAGGTCGCCTCCTTCAATGGAATGTCTTAAAAGCCACACAAAGACTTCAGTTGGAATAAAACAGGAATATGTTGTTTATTTTGAAAAGTCAATATGCATAATGATTATTATTTATTATTATTTATTATTTAAAACTTTTATATCCCGATCTTCTCAACCTCCGTAGAGGGACTCAGACTGGCTTACAGCAAGGATTCAATGCTAATGGTACAATCTAAAAACATCATATAATAACGAGTTAAAATACATATCAATTAAAATTACAAATAAGCCAAATTGCCAAGATAAAATCATGTTTCAATTAACTTGTCAGGCTTTACTTCTTACAGAGGATGGTACTTTTATCTTGAGTTTCTTAAAACAAAGTTACATGCAGAAATCCAAATAGCATCTTTTAAACCTTTTGATTCTCCCTTCCTTCTACAGCACTCTAAGCACTATAGAGGCCAATTAACTATTATCCTTAAAGAGGTATCTTTCATATAACAAACAGTTCCCAATTCTCTTCCTTCTTTCCCCCTTCAAAACTCCTAACCCTTCTTCTTCCACACAAAGCTCCTAACTAAGTATAAAATGCCTGCCTCAGCTTCTTCTCTATGCCTCTGGCTCCACAGTTCATAGAATCATAGAATCAAAGTGTTGGAAGAGACCTCATGGGCCATCCAGTCCAACCCCCTGCCAAGAAGCAGGAATATTGCATTCAAATCACCCCTGACAGATGGCCATCCAGCCTCTGTTTAAAAGCTTCCAAAGAAGGAGCCTCCACCACACTCCGGGGCAGTGAGTTCCACTGCTGAACGGCTCTCACAGTCAGGAAGTTCTTCCTCGTGTTCAGATGGAATCTCCTTTCTTGTAGTTTGAAAGCCATTGTTCCGCGTCCTAGTCTCCAGGGAAGCAGAAAACAAGCTTGCTCCCTCCTCCCTGTGGCTTCCTCTCACATATTTGATCTTCCTCTCACATATCATATCTCCTCTCAGCCTTCTCTTCTTCAGGCTAAACATGCCCAGCTCCTTAAGCCGCTCCTCATAGGGCTTGTTCTCCAGACCTTGATCATTTTAGTCGCCCTCCTCTGGACACATTCCAGCTTGTCAATATCTCTCTTGAATTGTGGTGCCCAGAATTGGACACAATATTCCAGGTGTGGTCTAACCAAGGCGGAATAGAGGGGTAGCATTCTTCCCTGGATCTAGACACTATGCTCCTATTGATGCAGGCCAAAATCCCATTTGCTTTTTTTGCCACCGCATCACATTGTTGGCTCATGTTTAACTTGTTGTCCATGAGGATTCCAAGATCTTTTTCACACGTACTGCTCTCGAGCCAGGCATTGTCCCCCATTCTGTATCTTTGCATTTCATTTTTCCTGCCTAAGTGGAGTATCTTGCATTTGTCCCTGTTGAACTTCATTTTCTTAGTTTTGGCCCTTCATCTCTCTAATCTGTCAAGATCGTTTTGAATCCTGCTCCTGTCCTCTGGAGTACTGGCTCTCCCTCCCAATTTGGTGTCGTCTGCAAACTTGATGATCCTGCCTTCTAGCCCTTCATCTAAGTCATTAGTAAAGATGTTGAACAGGACTGGGCCCAGGAAGGAACCCTGTGGCACTCCACTGGTCACTTTTTTCCAGGATGAAGAGGAAGCATTGGTGAGCACCCTCTGGATTCATCCATTTAACCAATTACTGATCCACCTCACCGTAGTTTTGCCTCCAATTTTCCCTCCAAACCCTATACAGCTCCGGCCCAGCGTACCTGTCCGAATGTATCTCCTTCTATGTCCCACCTTGGAGTTTAATATCTTCTGGGGAGGCCCTGCCTCTATCACAAGTGAGGTTCGTGGGGACGAGGGACCGGGCCCTCTCAGTGGTGGCCCCTCGCCTGTGGAATTCACTCCCCAGGGAAATTAGATCATCAACATCCCTCCTCCCCTTCAGAAGGAACTGAAAACATGGATATGGGACCAGGCTTTTGGGTAATCTGGCAGACTGACAAGGTATGGATTTTAGAACTCGGTGAACATTTGGCCACTAGATTGGCTTTTTAGTTGTTATTGTATTAATTGAATGTTTTAATTATTGTGGCTATTGCTGTCATGTATTTTATCTGAATTGTTGGCATCAAATTGTGCTGGTTGTAAGCCACCCTGAGTCCCCCCTAGGGGGTTGAGAAGGGCGGGGTAGAAGTGCCCGAAATAAATAAATCTATACACATAATAAAAGTGAAAATCTGTATGTGTGTATGTGGCATAGGTGTCTGTTCACACAGACAGCCTTTGGCCTCCACAAATAGGCTATTGTTCCCAGTGCTGAGAAGACAGCAAGCCACTCTGTCGAAGGACATTGCAGGTTATAGCGAGCACATCCCAGTGTTCCTTTCTCTCTTCATTTGCATGACCCCACCCACTGCTTCTCCCTTATCCCTTTCCAACCCTTTCCTATGGCACACAGCAAACAGAGGCATTGATCTGCAACTGATCATACTGGAGACGTTTGGAGAGAAATCACCATGATTTATAGTTGTAGGGACTGGGATGCATAGTTCACCTGCAATCTAAGAGCACTCTGAACTGCACCAACAATAGACCTGGAACTCACTTGGCACACAGACCCACCATGGGCAATTGTCCATACTTGCAGAGTTTAGGGGTGATTACCCTGGGAGTTGTAGTTCACCCTTATCCAAAGAGCAGTGAACCCAGCCAACAATGGATCTGGGCCAAACTTGTCACACAGAACCAACATGGCCAATTGTGCATACTGGCTGGGCTTGGGGGTGATTGCCCTGGGGATCTGGGAGTTGTAGTTCACCCTTATCTAGATATCACTGAACCCAGCTGCTGTCAGATCTGGACTAAACTTGACACACAGACCCAACATGGCCAACTTTAAGTAATGGCAGGGTTTGGGAAGGACTGACCCACGATTCTGGAAATTGTAGTTCACCCACAACCTTATGCATTTTCTAGAATGGGGGACAATGCCTGGCTCGAGAGCAGTATGTGTGAAAAAGATCTTGTCCTCATGGACAACAAGTTAAACATGAGCCAACAATGTGATGTGGCGGCAAAAAAAGCCAATGGGATTTGGCCTGCATCAATAGGAGCATAGTGTCTAGATCTAGGGAAGTAATGCTACCCCTCTATTCTGCTTTGGTTAGACCACACCTGGAATATTGTGTCCAATTCTGGGCACCACAATTCAAGAGAGATATTGACAAGCTGGAATGTGTCCAGAGGAGGGCGACTAAAATGATCAAGGGTCGGGAGAACAAGCCCTATGAGGAGCGGCTTGGGGAGCTGGGCATGTTTAGCCTGAAGAAGAGAAGGCTGAGAGGAGATATGATAGCCATGTATAAATATGTGAGAGGAAGCCACAGGGAGGAGGGAGCAAGCTTGTTTTCTGCTTCCTTGGAGACTAGGACGCGGAACAATGGCTTCAAACTACAAGAAAAGAGATTCCATCTGAACATGAGGAAGAACATGAGGAAGAAAGAGAGACTAGGACGCAAGGGAACAATGGCTTCAAACTCCAAGAGAGGAGATTCCACCTGACCATGAGGAAGAACTTCCTGACTGTGAGAGCCGTTCAGCAGTGGAACTCTCTGCCCCGGAGTGTGGTGGAGGCTCCTTCTTTGGAAGCTTTGAAACAGAGGCTGGATGGCCATCTGTCAGGGGTGCTTTGAATGCAATATTCTGCTTCTTGGCAGAATAGGGTTTGGGAAGGACTGACCCATGATTCTGGAAATTGTAGTTCACCCACAACCTTATGCATTTTCTAATGGGACCATTCATTTTTTAAAAAACCCAAAAAAGTAAGACTGTTTTTCCCTAAGAAGTAGCAGTACACATTACCAAACTGATATTACCAAACTTCACAAAACAAACAATGCCTTTCTCAAATAACCCGGGCACCGCCGGGTCCCCAAGCTAGTAAATAAATAAATTTCATCAACCAATCAGACTGCACTTCTAGATAAGAGGCTGCCTGATGGCTCCACCCCTCGGCTCTCCATAGCTTTAGTAAGCCGGACCTGTTTTCTGCCTTTTACACCAACCCACGGTGGTCCACGCTCTTGTTACATCCCGATTGGATTACTGCAACGCACTCTACGTGGGGTTGCCTTTGAAGACTGCTCGGAAACTCCAACTGGTCCAGCGAGAGGCAGCCAGATTGCTCACTGGAGCGACATACAGGGAGCACACCACCCCCCTGTTGTGTCAGCTCCACTGGCTGCCGATCCAATTCCGAGCACAATTCAAAGTGCTGGTTTTGACCTACAAAACCCTAAACGGTTCCGGCCCAGTGTATCTATCCGAACGGATCTCCCTCTACGTCCCACCTCGGAACCTAAGATCCTCTGGGGAGGCCCTGCTCTCGACCCCGCCTCTATCACAAGTGAGATTGGCGGGGACGAGGAGCAGGGCCTTCTCGGTGGTGGCCCCCCGCCTGTGGAACTCACTCCCCGGGGAGATTAGATCGGCAACGTCCCTTCTTTCATTTAGGAAGAGGTTGAAGACCTGGATGTGGGACCAGGCATTTGGACATTCTGGCAGCTAAAGAAAGACTTGATGACGAGCTGGAACTGGACAAGACGGAATGGATTTACGGAACTCCGAACGCTGAGCTCAGGATTAGCCTACTACTGTGTTTATGGTGTTACTGTGTATTGATGATTTAATTTTTAATTTGTAATTGCTTAATTGTTTTTATATATGTATGTATATGTGACAAGGCATCGAATTGTGCCTTTCTCTGTAAGCCGCCCTGAGTCCCCCCTTGGGGGTGAGAAGGGCGGGGTAAAAGTGACGGAAATAATAATAATAATAACTAGGTTCTTGTGGGTTTTTTCGGGCTATAGAGCCATGTTCTAGAGGCATTTCTCCTGACGTTTCGCCTGCATCTATGGCAAGCATCCTCAGAGGTTGAGAAGGTCTGTTGGAAATAGGAAAAATGGGCTTATATATCTGTGGAATGGCTGGGGTGGGGCAAGGAGCTCTTCCCTGCTGCAGTTAGGTGTGAATGTTTAGCTGATCACCTTCATTAGCATTTGAAGGCCTGCCTGAGCCTGGGAAAATCTGTTGCTGGGAGGTGTTAATCTGTGCCTGGTTTTTTCTCTCTGTTGTTTAGCTGTTATAATTTTAGAGTTTTTTAATACTGGTAGCCAGATTGATGCAGGCGAAACGTCGGGAGAATGCTTCTAGAACATGGCCATACAGCCGGAAAAAAACCCACAAGAACCTAGTGATTCCAGCCATGAAAGCCTTCGACAATAATAATAATACTTTAAGGTAGGCCAATCCATTACAGAGACCTACCTGCCCAGAACCCACATCGACAACATGGCGGCACCCAGTGAGATCGCTCAGCCTCTTCACCACCTACAAGGAAGAGGAAACATCTGCCGTGATGGATCTCCTTCAACTGGGAGGAGAAGGAAACATGGATTGGGGTGATCACCTACAGAGGCACTGATAGCTCCCCTTCCTTAAGGAGCCCTGTGAGTGCCATCTCAGGTCAAAGGACTCTCCCACCTTGTTTAGCCTTGCTGCTGACCCACAGCAGGCAGATGTGATGCTTCTGCCTCGGCCCATGCAGAGCCCCTACCTGCCCCAGCCGTTGGATTTCGTGTTGCTTCTTGGGCTTGACGTGCTTCCGGAAGAGGGGGTGCAGCCTGGCGCTCTGGCAGGGGTTCTCCCGGAACTCTTCTGGCCTCCCAAGCCCCGCGGTGCCCCCTCGACCCTTGGCTCTTTTAGGGAATGTCAAAGAGTGAGCGGTAGCTTTGAAGGCCAGCAGCGAGAGTGGCCAAACAGAGCTGTAGCTGGATGACAAGAGAGTCAATACATAGAGGGAAAGCTCTTACAGCCAGAGAAGGAAAGGAGGCAACAAGTGGGGTGGGGATTGTAGAGGGGCTCCTTGCTCCAGTATAGAGAAGGAACAGTCCCCTTGGCTTGGAACTCAATTGCACGTATTTATCGTGTCAGAAGCGAATTGAGAATACAGTTATACGAGGGTTGAAAGAAAAGTAAATGTCGTAAATAAATAAAATAATAAATAATAATCCAGTTCAAAGGAGGTAATGTGGATTGGGTTGTTGTAGGTTTTTTCGGGCTATATGGCCATGGTCTAGAGGCATTCTCTCCTGACGTTTTGCCTGTATCTATGGCAAGCATCCTCAGAGGATGCCTGCCATAGATGCAGGCGAAATGTCAGGAGAGAATGCCTCTAGACCATGGCCATATAGCCCGAAAAAACCTACAACAACACAGTGATTCCGGCCATGAAAGCCTTCGACAATAATGTGGATTATCGAATTTGATAATCTGGATCGTATGGCATTATAGAAGGAGCCTAAAATACACCCCAGTTTTAGAGATGTTTATATAAGATGGGGAAGGGAGTAATTGAAGAAATACTGGGCTCAATTCAAGGTGCTGGCGTTGGCCTTTAAAGCCCTAAACGGTTCTGGCCCAACTTATCTATCCGAACGTATCTCAGCCTATCAGCCCACCAGGACCCTAAGATCTTCCGGAGAGTCCCTTCTCTCTATCCCTCCAGCTTCAGAAGTGTGGCTGGCGGGAACGAGAGATAGGGCCTTCTCTGTGGTGGCCCCTCGGCTTTGGAACGCCCTCCCTATAGAGGTACGATCAGCCTCGTCGCTGATGGTGTTTAGGAAGAGACTCAAAACATGGTTATTCAAACAAGCATTCGGCTAATCTGTGGCAATTAAATCGAATCTGGTGACTATGGACAGGAAATATGGACAACGAACTCTGGATTGTGATTTTAACTTGAGATATATGGGATTATTATTGGTGGCCCAATAATTTGTTATTGTATTTGTATATGTTTTTTAAACTGAGATTGTTTTTAAAATGCTGTAAACCGCAATTGAGTCGCCGTTCTAGGCTGAGAAATTAGCGGTATACAAGTGTACCAAATAAATAAATAAATAAATAAATAGACACATTCCAGCTTGTCAGCATCTCTCTTCAACTGTTGAGAAACTGTAAGTCGTTTCTGGTGTGAGAGAATTGGCCGTCTGCAAGGACGTTGCCCAGGGGTCGTCCGGATGTTTCTGATGTTTTACCATCCTTGGGGAAGTCTTCTCCCATGCCCCGCATGGGGAGCTGGAGCTGACAGAGGGAGCTCATCTGTGTTCTCCCCGAATCTGAACCTCCAATGTTAGACTTCAGTACTGCCAGCAAAGGGGTTTAACCCACTGCTCCGCCGGGGGCTCCTAGTACAATATAGTAATATATAATACTGATAAATAAAATAATAATAATAGTAATAATAATAATAATAATAATATAGTGATATATAATACTGCTAATAAAATAAAATAAATAAAATAATAAATAATAATCCAGTTCAAAGTAGATAATGTGGATTATCGAATTTGATAATCTGGATCATATGGCAGTATAGAAGGGGCCTAAAATACACCCCAGTTTTAGAGATGTTTATATAAGGTGGGGAAGGGAGTCTGTAATTGAAGAAATATTACTAATAATATTACAATGTAATGGTATAGTACAATATAGTTTTTTTGTCGTGTCAGAAACTGCAAGTCGCTTCTGGTTGAGAGAATTGGGCGTCTGCAAGGACATTGCCCAGGGGACGCCCAGATGTTTTTGATGTTTTACCATCCTTGTGGGAGGCTTCTCTCATGTCCCTGCATGAGGAGCTGGAGCTGACAGAGGGAGCTCATCCGCCTCTCCCCAGATTCGAACTACGACCTGTCAGTCTTCAGTCCTGCCGGCAAAGGGGTTTAATCCACTGCTCTAGACTACTGCAATGCTCTCTACGTGGGGTTGCCTTTGAAGACGGCTCGGAAGCTCCAATTAGTCCAACGGTCGGCAGCCATGATACTAACTGGAGCGGAGCGCAGGGAGCACACAACTCCTCTGCTGCACCAGCTCCACTGGCTGCCGATTTGCTACCGGGCTCAATTCAAAGTGCTGGCGTTGGCCTTTAAAGCCCTAAACGGTTCTGGCCCAACCTACCTATCCGAACGTATCTCGGCCTATCAGCCCACCAGGACCCTAAGATCTTCTGGGGAGGCCCTGCTCTCTATCCCGCCTGCTTCACAGGTGCGGCTGGCAGGGACGAGAGACAGGGCCTTTTCTGTGGTGGCCCCTCGGCTCTGGAACGCCCTTCCCATGGAGGTAAGATCAGCCTCCTCGCTGATGGTATTCCGAAGAAGACTAAAAACTTGGATGTTCAAGCAGGCATTTGGTTAATTCGGTGCAATGAATGTGTTGATTACGGATTGGTAATATGGATGATGCAATTGGACCACGATTTTAGTTAGGAGATGTATTGGATTGTGATTTCGTGTAATATTGTGTATTATGTTTTTTATGGTTTTAATTGTATACTGTGCACTGTATATTTTGTTGTAAACCGCGTTGAGTCGCCAGTTAGGCTGAGAAACGGCGGTATACAAGGACAGTAAATAAATAAATAAATAAATATATCTTGTAAGCCACTCTAAGTCCCCTTCGGGGTGATAAGGGCAGCATAGAAATGTCATAAATAAATAAATAAATAAATAAATAAATAAATAAATAAATACAATATGTAATGGAAGGACAGGGTGTGGTGGGTCTGTGGCAGCCGTTAGGAGGAAAATAAAATAAGAAAGGGAAATCATAATAATCTAGAATAAAATAGAAGATTTTTATTCCTACCTTGAATCTGAAAAGACCAGTTCTAATTTTGCAAGCATGCAAAACCTGCAGATGATTGACACGGGGTCAGGTTGCTCTATCCATGTTTGTTCTAGCCTGTTTATTCTAGCCAATGTTGACATAGATATGAAGTCAACAAGAGAATTTGGCAGGACAAAGAAATCAATAATATTGATCCAAGACTTGGAACATCTAAGGTCATATGGTGAGAGAGCGCCATCCTCTGACCACTTAATGGAAATAGCAGGCAATTTCAGAAACGCTTTTATTTTAAGTACATTCCTTCATGGTCTTCATATTAAGAAATAAGTTATAATGAAATAATTAAGGCTGGATTGATTAGGAGATTGCCTTGATCAAATCTTATGTTATAAGCATATAAAAGTTATAATTCAATTAGAGATTTAAAGGAATTGAACATATACGTGTCATATTAGAGTAACGGGTGAAAGCTGAGATAAGTTATATAACCGAGCAAATGTTTGGGGTCACAACGTGCCTGCCAAGACCTGATAGAGATGTCCTTTAGGGCTGGGCGGTTTCGTTTCGTAATTTCGTAATTCGTTAAAAATTGGTTTTTGTTTTTTTTTATAATGAAGCGATATTGAGGCATTCAGGAGCAACTAAAAAACGAAACGAATTTTTCCAATTCGTTTCGTAATTGTTTCGTAATTGTTTCGTTATTGTTTCGTTATTGATTCGTTATTGATTCGTTATTGATTCATAAATATTTCGTTATTATTTCCGCATGTCTGGTGCAAGTTTTAGGGTTGCTGTTTGTTTTCTCAGTGAAAAAAAATATAATTATCACACCAACAGTCAACAACAGAGGGAGAGGGAAGCTTCAGAAGTTTTTTTAGCATATTGCGCGATCGCGGGTGCCATTAACGAATCGATTCGTAATCGATTCGTAATTGTTTTGTAATTGTTTTATGATTTCCGAAATTTCGTAAATATCGAACTTTTTTTAAGGAAAATTTCGGAATTCTTTTAAATAACGAAATGCAAAAAACCCCTAAAAACGAATCGAGTTTAGAAACAAATTTTTCCATGTTTGGACAGCCCTAATGTCCTTGGCAACTATACATGAAAACACCTGTTAATGATGGTATTGTGTAAATGTCAGATCCTTTCTGCGCATGTGTAAAACAAGTAATTTTATGCTATAAAAACTGGAACAATTGCGACTTCAAAGTTGTGACAGACATTGGAGCTGTTCACCCTATCCTCTGCGGAGATAGTAATAAACGCCTGGAAATCCGCCAAGCTGTCTCTCCATCTTCCTTCCTTCTCCAAAAGCACTCTAATGATCTCGGGTAATGTATATTCCGCAACATGTCAACAGGACCTATAAAGCTTACCTGGCCTCTGGGGTGGCCCTGTTTTCCAGCAAGAGAGCAGCCAACTGTGGGGAGCTGAGACCATCCAGAGCCGCCTGCCAGGAAAGAGGGAGGCTGCTCCACAAGCTGTCTGTGAAAAACTCCTGCAAGATAGAAAGAAAACAGAGGCAGCGAAGAAGATGGAGGTGGCGTCCCAAAGGCCCACCACTCTCCAACCCCCAAATGACGTGACGTACAATGATGTAGGCATCCGCAATGTGGTTGTAAAGGGAGAGGAAGCGAGTAATGTCTGCCGCTAAGCGTTTCTGCTCCTCCAACGAGATCTTCATGGCAGAAGCCCACTGGAAACAAGGAAAGAGGGTCTGCGGGAGGACAAAGCAATGCTAAGGCGAAAGAAGCCACCCAGAAGCATTCTTCATGCAATGTGTTGTCAAAGGTTTCCATGGCCAGAATCACTGGGTTGCTCTGATTTTTCCGGACTGTATGGCCATATTCTAGAAGCATTCTCTCCTGGCATTTTGCCCACACCTATAGCAGGCATCTTTAAAGGTTGGGCTGTAGCACAGCTGGTAAATCACCAGCAGCAAGAGATCACTGCTGACCGAAAAGTTGCCAGTTCGAAGCCTGGGTCGGGGTGAGCGCCCAACTGTCAGCCCAGCTTATTGTCCACCTAAGCAGTTCGAAAACAGCTTGAGAACTGTAAGTAGAGAAATTAGGTACCACTTAAAGTATTTATTTATTTATTTACAGCTTTTATATTCCGCCCTTCTCACCCCGCAGGGGATTCAGGGCAGATTACAGTGTACACATATATGGCAAACATTCAATGCCAATTTTGACATACAACATATACAGACATACACAGAGGCTATTTAACTTTTTCTGGCCACCAGGGGAGCTGTCGCTTTCCTCGTCCATCTGCGACACTGATGAAGCACTTCCGCATTCCCCGCATGCTTCCCTGCTGGAATGCTTTGCTGGAGTCTTCTTTATGGCCTCATGAATCAGTTAATTTAGCCTCCCCACACTTTTAAAGGTGGTACCTAATTTTCCTACTTGACAGATGCAACTGTCTTTCGGGTTGCAAAGGTCAACAACAGGCTACACACAATTGGTTGGAAACCCACTCCAACCCGGGCTGGCTTTGAACTCATGACCTTTTGGTCAGAGTGATCTTAATGCAGCTGACACTCAGCCAGCTGCGCCACAATCCCGATAGATAAATTAGGTACCGCTTGAAACTTAATGGAGAACCTCGTTCAGCTGAGCTGCTGAACTTGCTGATCAAAAGGTCACAGCTTCAAATCCGGGGTGAGCCCCTGCTGTTAGCCCCAGCTTCTGCCAACCCAGCAGTTCAAAAACATGCAAATGTGAGTAGATCAATAGGTACCGCTCCGGTGGGAAGGTAACAGCGCTCCATTCAGTCATGCCGGCCACATGACCTTGGAGGTGTCTATGGACAACACCGGCTCTTTGGCTTAGAAATGGAGATAAGCACCAACCCCCAGAGTTGCACAGGACTGTCACGGGAAAACCTTTACCATTATTATTATTATTATTATTATTATTATTATTATTATATTCAACAGGTACCACTTCTGCGGAAACGTAACAGTACTCCATACAGTCATGCCGGCCACATGACCTTAGAGGTGTCTACGGACAACACCAGCTCTTCGGCTTAGAAATGGAGATGAGTACCAATCCCCAGAGTTGCACAGGACTTGTCACAGGAAAACCTTTTTCATTATTATTATTATTATTATTATTATTATTATTATATTCAACAGGTACCACTTCTGCGGAAACATAACAGTGCTCCATGACCTTGGAGGTTGTCTACGGACAATGCCGGCTCTTCGGCTTAGAAAAGGAGATGAGCACCAACCCCCAGAGTTGGACACGACTGGACTTAATGTCAGGAAGATATTTTATAACACCATTAAAGAAATACCAGAAATGCTAGCATCCTCTGCCTGTCTGTTTGTCCTATCTGTTTCAACGGCACTGAATGTTCGTCATGTATGTGTTCTGTGATCCGCCCTGAGTCCCCTTCGGGGAGATAGGGCAGAATAATAATAATAATAATTATTATTATTATTATTATTATTGTGAGGTCTACTGAAAACTAGGCAAGTGGGATTTATATACCTGTGGAATTTACGGGGTGGGAGAAAGAACCCTTGACTCAAAACCTGATAGGATGCCTGCCATAGATGCAGGAAAATGTCAGGAGAAAATGCTTCTAGAATATGGCCATAAAGCCCGAAAAACTTAAAACAACCCAACCCTTGAATGTTTGAGGCAAGTGTGAATGTTGTAATTGGCCAGCTTGATTAGCATTGAATGGCTTTGTAACTTCAAAGCGTGGCTGCTTCCTGCCTGGGGGAATCCTTTATTGGGAGGACAGTAAATAAAGATTTAAGGTTTTCCCTGACATTAAGTCCAGTCATGTCCAACTCTGGAGGTTGGTACTCATCTCCATTTCTAAGCCAAAGAGCCGACGTTGTCCGTAGACACCTCCGTAGACGACATGTGGCTGGCATGACTGCATGCAGCGCCGCTACCTTCTCGCCGGAGCGGTACCTATTGATCTATTCACATTTGCATGTTTTCGAACTACTACGTTGGCTGTAGATAGGGATAACATCGGGAGCTCACCCCACTCCCCAGATTCAAAGCGTCAGCAAGTTCAGCAGCTCAGTGGTTTAACCTGCTGTGCCACTAGGGGCTCCCAAGTAAATAAAGAGAAACACTCAAAACACAAGGGGATTCCAGACATGAAACAATCAGGGCCAGCTAACACCTCCCAACAAAGGATTCCCCCAGGCAGGAAGCAGCCAGGCTTTGAAGCTGCAATGCCATTCAATGATACTCAAGGTGGCCAATGGCAATATTCCCCCTTGCCTCCAACAGACAAAAGTTCTTTCTCCCATCTAGTCATTATTCCACTGATATATAAACCCCATTTGCCTAGTTTCCAAAAGACCTCACAATAATAATAGTAATATAATAACATAATAATAAAGTAATATTATTACAGGGCCCGGTCCTGTTCAACATCTTTATTAATGACTTAGATGAAGGGCTAGAAGGCAGGATCATCAAGTTTGCAGACGACACCAAATTGGGAGGGAGAGCCAATAGTCCAGAGGACAGGAGCAGGATTCAAAACGATCTTGACAGATTAGAGAGATGGGCCAAAACTAACAAAATGAAGTTCAACAGTGACAAATGCAAGATACTCCACTTTGGCAGAAAAAGCGAAATGCAAAGATACAGAATGGGGGACGCCTGGCTCGAGAGCAGTACGTGTGAAAAAGATCTTGGAGTCCTCGTGGACAACAAGTTAAACATGAGCCAACAATGTGATGTGGCGGCAAAAAAAGCCAATGGGATTTTGGCCTGCATCAATAGGAGCCTAGTGTCTAGATCTAGGGAAGTCATGCTACCCCTCTATTCTGCCTTGGTTAGACCACACCTGGAATATTGTGTCCAATTCTGGGCACCAAAATCGAAGGGAGATATTGATAAGCTGGAATGTGTCCAGAGGAGGAATATTGTGTCCAATTCTGGGCACCACAATTCAAGACAAGCTGGAATGTGTCCAGAGGAGGACTCAAATGATCAAGGGTCTGGAGAACAAGCCCTATGAGGAGCGGCTTAAGGAGCTGGGCATGTTTAGCCTGAAGAAGAGAAGGCTGAGAGGAGATATGATAGCCATGTATAAATATGTGAGAGGAAGCCACAGGGAGTAGGGAGCAAGCTTGTTTTCTGCTTCCTTGGAGACTAGGACACGGAACAATGGCTTCAAACTACAAGAGGAGATTCCATCTGAACATGAGGAAGAACTTCCTGACTGTGAGAGCCGTTCAGCAGTGAAACTCTCTGCCCCGGAGTGTGGTGGAGGCTCCTTCTTTGGAGGCTTTTAAACAGAGGCTGGATGGCCAGATGGCCAGGGTGATTTGAATGCAATATTCCTGCTTCTTGGCAGGGGGTTGGAGTGGATGGCCCATGAGGTCTCTTCCAACTCTTTGATTCTATGATTTGATTCTTTAAGTGCTTAATGTGCATCTGGTCATCATATACATCAGTAAGTAATGGACATATTAGTGTTCAGAGTGCAACATGCAACACTGTGAATAGCACACCAGTGCACATTATACATAGTGAAGTATACAACTGTACATCAGTTAGCAATAATAATATACAGTTGTTTATTTGCATGCGAAGCTGCCATTGGTGGGAGGAGGCCCCGCCCCTAAATAACTGTGCCACCAGGAGCTCAAGGTTGGGTATCATCTTCTAAAATTCCACAGCTAAGCCATATCATGACTTCTTGTTCATTCGTTCAGTCATTTCTGACTCTTCGTGACCTCATGGACGAGCCCACGCCAGAGCTCCCTGTCGGCCGTCACCACCCCCAGCTCCTTCAAGGTCAATCCAGTCATTTCAAGGATGCCATCCATCCATCTTGCCCTTGGTCGGCCCCTCTTCCTTTTGCCTTCCACTTTCCCCAGCATAATTGTCTTCTCAGGCTTTGCTGTCTCCTCATGATGTGGCCAAAGTACTTCAACTTTGTCTCTAGTATCCTTCCCTCCATTGAGCAGTCAGGCTTTATTTCCTGGAGGATGGACTGGTTGGATCTTCTCGCAGTCCAAGGCACTCTCAGAACTTTCCTCCAACACCACAGCTCAAAAGCATCGATCTTCCTTCGCTCAGCCTTCCCTAAGGTCCAGCTCTCACATCCGTAGGTTACTACAGGGAATACCATGGCTTTTACTAGGCGGATCTTTGTTGCCAGTGTGATGTCTCTACTCTTTACTATTTTATCGAGATTGGACATTGCTCTCTTCCCAAGAAGTAAGCGTCTTCTGATTTCCTGGCTACAGTCTGCATCTGCAGTAATCTTGCACCTAGAAATACAACATCTGTCATTGACTCCACGTTTTCTCCCTCTATTTCCCAGTTGTCAATCATTCTCGTTGCCATAATCTTGGCTTTTTTGATGTTTAACTGCAACCCAGCTTTTGCGCTTTCTTCTTTCACCTTGATTAGAAGGCTCCTCAGCTCCTCCTCGCTTTCGGCCATCAGAGTGGTGTCATCTGCATATCTGAGGTTGTTAATGTTTCTTCCAGCAATTTTCACCCCAGCTTTGCATTCATCAAGCCCGCACACCTCGCATGATGTGTTCTGCATACAAGTTAAAAAGGTTGGGTGAGAGTATGCAGCCTTGCCGTACGCCTTTCCCAATCTTGAACCAGTCTGTTGTTCCGTGGTCAGTTCTGACTGTTGCTCCTTGGTCCTTGTACAGATTCCTCGGGAGAGAGACAAGGTGGCTTGGGATGCCCATCCCACTAAGAACTTGCCACAATTTATTATGATCCACACAGTCAAAGGCTTTAGAATAGTCAATGAAGCAGAAGTAGATGTTTTTCTGAAACTCCCTGCCTTTCTCCATTATCCAGCGGATATTGGCAATCTGGTCTCTCGTTCCTCTGCCTTTTCGAAACCCAGCTTGAACATCTGGCAACTCTCGCTCCATGTATTGCTGGAGTCTTCCTTGCAGGATCTTGAGCATTACCTTACTGGCATGAGAAATAAGGGCCACTGTACGGAAGTTTGAGCAGTCTTTCGCATTTCCCATTTTTGGTATGGGGATATAAGTTGATTTTTTCCAGTCTGATGGCCATTCTTGTGTTTTCCATATTTGCTGGCAATGGCATGCATCACCTTGACAGCATCATCTTTTAAGATTTTAAACAGTTCAGCTGGGATCCCGTCGTCTCCTGCTGCCTTGTTGTTAGCAATGCTTCTTAAGGCCCATTCAACCTCACTCCTCAGTATGTCTGGTTCTAATTCATTCACCACACCGTCAAAACTATCCTCAATATTATTATCCTTCCTATACAGATCTTCTGTATAGTCTCGCCACCTTCTCTTGATCTCTTCAGCTTCTGTTAGGTCCCTGCCATCTTTGTTTCTTATCATACCAATTTTTGCTTGAAATTTACCTCCAATGTTTCTAATTTTCTGGAAGAGGTCTCTTGTCCTTCCTATTCTGTTGTCTTCCTCCACTTCCATGCATTGCTTATTTAAAAATAGTTCCTTATCTCTTCTGGCTAACCTCTGGAATTGCGCATTTAACTGGGCATATCTCCCCTTATCGCTGTTTCCTTTTGCTTTCCTCCTTTCTTGGGCTACTTCCAGTGTCTCAGCAGACAACCATTTTGCCTTCTTGGTTTTCTTTTTCTTTGGGACGTACTTTGTTGCCGCCTCCTGAACAATGTCCCGGACTTCTGTCCATAGTTCTTCTGGGACTCTGTTTACTAAATCTAGTCCTTCAAATCTGTTCTTCACTTCCACTGTATATTCGCTAGCAATGTTAGTGAGATCATATCTAACTGGTCTGTGTATTTTCCCTGATCTCTTTAGTTTTATTCTAAATTGGGCAATAAGAAGTTCGTGATCTGAGCTACAGTCAGCCCCAGGTCTTGTTTTCACCGACTGGATGGATGTCCGCCACCTTTGGCTGCAAAGGATGTAGTCAATCTGATTTCGGTGTTGACCGTCTTGTGAGGTCCATGTGTAAAGCCGTCTTTTAGGTTGTTGGAAGAGAGTATTCGTTATACACAGCGAGTTTTCCTGGCAAAATTCTATCAGCCTGCGTCCCGCTTCATTTTGTTCTCCCAGACCCTGCTTGCCTGTGATCCCAGTTGTCATTTGACTTCCCACCTTGGCATTCCAGTCTCCTGTAATGAAAATAATGTCTCTTTTTGGTGTATTATCCATATTTGCATACGAGGCTGCTATTGGTGGGAGGAGGAAGCCCCGCCCCCAATAGCAGCTCCCTATGAGACTTCCATCCTCTCTTGAGTGAATGGAAGGGGATACATATTTGCATACGAGGCTGCTATTGGTGGGAGGAGGAGGCCCCGCCCCCAATAGCAGCTCCCTATGAGACTTCCATCCTCTCTTGAGTGAATGGAAGAGACCAAATGCAAAGACTCACTAGCCCACCTCTCCCTGTCCTAATGGTTTCGTCCCAAAGGCGCGCCTGCGCAGTCGCGACTTACCGCTTTCCCGGCTGCGTTCCTCGAAACACGTTTTGTCCTTCTCGGCTCCCTTCGCTTGAGGGCAGAAAAGGGAGTTCGGTGGCAACTCTGTGAGAAAGCGGCGGCTAGAAGGAGGAGACAGGAAAAGAAGGAGAGCGAGAGAGGAGCCTAGAGTGCCCTCCTACTTCCGGTTTGGAGCGGAAACGGAAGCTGTCCAGACTCGTGTGGAGGAATGAGGCGAGGTGAGTTGGTTGCCGTGAATGGAGGGGGAAGCGAGGGCTGAGTGTCGCTTCCCGATGAGCTCAGCGCCTGTCACAAAGCCTGCTCTGCCGCTTCTCCCCTCCTCAGGGTGGCTGCGAGCGGGAGAAGCGCGGGCCGAGCGGGTAAGCGAGCCCAGCTTGCGAGGAGGCCGCGGAAAGGCCCAAGGCCACCCCAGGCTGCTCCCAGAGGAGGCCAGGCGGGTAGATGTACAATCAGGACAGCAGAGAAAGAGCTACACTCAGGAAAGAGGGGAAGGCTGGATGGCCATCTGTCAGGGTTGATTTGAATGCAATATTCCTGCTTCTTGGCAGAATGGGGTTGGACTGGATGGCCCATGAGGTCTCTTCTAACTCTTGGATTCTATGAATTCCAGGCAGGAAACAATCAGGGCCAGCTTTTTTTAAAATTTCGTATCAAAAGCATTGCATAAATTAGTATAAAACCGATACAAATAGAAGGAGAGCAGTGGCTAAATATATTTTGACCAAAAACAGGCAACAGCAATGGCATAGTCTGTAGCCTCCAACAATTCCTCCTCTGTACATGAGGCAGGGCACAATGGACAAGCATACAGGTGCAGAGTTGTCTGTTCTGCTCCTTACTTAGAATCATGGAATCATAGAATCAAAGTGTTGGAAGAGACCTCTTGGGCCATCCAGTCCAACCCCATTCTGCCAAGAAGCAGGAATATTGCATTCAAAGCACCCCTGACAGATGGCCATCCAGCCTCTGTTTAAAAGCTTCCAAAGAAGGAGCCTCCACCACACTCCGGGGCAGAGAGTTCCACTGCTGAATGGCTCTCACAGTCAGGAAGTTCTTCCTAATGTTCAGATGGAATCTCCTCTCTTGTAGTTTGAAGCCATTGTTCCGCGTCCTAGTCTCCAAGGAAACAGAAAACAAGCTGGCTCCCTCCTCCCTGTGGCTTCCTCTCACATATTTACCTCTCCGAACGTATTCTCCCCTACGTACCATCAAGACTACTAAGATCGTCTGGAGAGGCCCTGCTCTCGGTCCCACCGGCCTCGCAAGCGCGCCTGGTGGGGACGAGGGACAGGGCCTTCTCCGTGGTGGCCCCGCGACCTTGGAACTCTCTCCCTCTGGAGGCCAGATCCGCCCCATCCATCCTAACATTCAGGAAACAGGTGAAGACGTGGCTGTGGAGTCAGGCCTTCGATGAATGAGACAACACCATAGGACCCTGGATGGAAGTTGATGTAGATCCATCTTAATAGGACGACTGACCACTGTAGTTTTATATATAGTGTTTTTAAAGTTGTTTTTCTAATTGTGGTATATGATATTTTAATGAGTGTATATGTTTTTTATGGCTGGAAACCGGGCTGAGTCCCTCAATGAGGTTGAGAAGCTCGGTATAGAAAACTGTGAAATAAATAAATAAATATTTATACATGGCTATCATATCTCCTCTCAGCCTTCTCTTCTTCAGGTTAAACATGCCCAGCCGCTCCTCATAGGGCTTGTTCTCCAGACCCTTGATCATTTTAGTCACCCTCCTCTGGACACATTCCAGCTTGTCAATATCTCTCTTGAATTGTGGTGCCCAGAATTGGACACAGTATTCCAGGTGTGGTCTAACCAAGGCAGAATAGAGCATGGATAGCATTACTTCCCTAGATTTAGACACTATGCTCCTCTTGATGCAGGCCAAAATCCCATTGGCTTTTTTTGCCGCCACATCACATTGTTGGCTCATGTTTAACTTGTTGTGCATGAGAACTCCAAGACCTTTTTCACACGTACTGCTCTCAAGCCAGGCATTGTCCCCCATTCTGTATCTTTGCATTTCGTTTTTTCTGCCTAAGTGGAGTTTCTTGCATTTGTCACTGTTTATTTATTTATTATTTATTTACTGCATTTGTAGACCGCCGTTCTCAGCCCTAGGGCGACTCACGGCGGTGTACAACATATAAAAACAATTTACAATAAAGGCAATATCACAAACAACAATAACAACATCACTATCAATACTACAATTACACTAAATCATTGTTGAAATAATAGAAGAGATTGCCTTTATAGTCTCTTCCAAGTCTATGATTATTTCCTCTTTTTCCTCTCTTCAGCCCAACACGATGTTGTGTCTCCTGTAGGGATTCCTCTTCCTGTCACCATAGAGAGGCACCCGCTGGTCACTTCCTCCCCATGCTGACGGCCTGCATCCAGAGGACACCATGTCGGATATCATTATCAACCTGGACAGCACCCTTCCCACTACTGGGAAGAAGAACTCTGAGGCAGGTAATAAGAAGCACCAGCGCTTTATCCGCCGCCGGCATTTCTTAGAGAGGAAGGGATTCCTGAAGCAGAAGCAGATTCCCAAGCGGGATGCCTCCCACGGATGCCCAGGGCTGGACAGGGACAAGAAGAGGCAAAAATTGGACAGACAGGATGGGCCTGCTGGCAAGGGACTGAACAGCACATGCCAGGAGGAGGGCTCAACTTGCAAGCCGAAAACATTTCCTAAGGGGAATTCTGCGGCTTGTGGTGCCAAAGAGTCAAGCAACCAGGTCTGCCCGCCATCCGGGGACATTTCATCTTCGGGCAAAACTGGAAGCAGCTCAGCCAGGCACAACGGGACCCCGGGGCCCAACTGCAGCGCAAAGACGCTCCCGAGAGTGGACCTGCTGAGCGAGTATGAGAGCGGACTCTCCTTGGTCCCTGCAGCCGTTAAACCCAGCAAAATGGTGGCCATCGACTGCGAGATGGTGGGCACAGGGCCCGGCGGTCGGAACAGCGACTTGGCGAGGTGTAGCGTGGTCAGCTACCACGGCGACATCATCTACGACAAGTACATCCGCCCGCCCAGCCCCATCACCAACTACCGGACAAAGTGGAGCGGTATCAGGAGGCATCACATGAACAACGCTGTGCCCTTCAAGATTGCCCAGAAAGAGGTGAGGGTAGAACAAGGCGGCCAACCAGCTGGTCTCATTTCCGGATTTCTGTCTCATTTAATATTTAGCACTTTTGAAGCTGCCTCCCAAATCTTGCCTTTTTTAATTTATTTTTTATTTATTTGTTTATTTATTTATTTACTGTCCTTGTATACCGCCGTTTCTCAGCCTAACTGGCGACTCAACGCGGTTTACAACAAAATATACAGTACACAGTATACAATTAAAACCATAAAAAACATAATACACAATATTACACGTAAATCACAATCCAATACATCTCCTAACTAAAATCGTGGTCCAATTGCATCATTTTATTGTTTACTAGTCATCCCCTACCACGCGTTGCTGTGGCCCAGTCTGGTAATCTGGAAAATAAGTAATGAGAAAGTGTTGGTTTCTAATATATGTAATTTCTTGATACTTGTGGGTAAACAGTATTTCTTGTTGTTTCTTTGACAGTGTTGATGTGGAGATTGTCTGGCTTGCCTACTCTGGAACATGCAACATATAATTGTCCTTCTTTGGGGCTCCCTTTCAAATCTATTATACTCTATCTCTCTGTGTGTGTGAATCTTATATATCTATATCTATGGCTTGATGGCTTTTTGTCAGGAGGGCTTTGATTACGTTTTCTTGCCCTGGTGAAGGGAGTTGGGTTTAGGTATTTTCTGTTGGTCGTGGGAGTCCTGTGTGCCATGTTTGGTTCCATTCCATCATTGGTGGAGTTCAGAATACTCTTTGATTGTAGGTGAACTATAAATCCCAGCAACTACAACTCCCAAATAACAAACTCAATTTTTTTGAGTGATGGTCACTCCTTAGGTTAGTAGATGTCTTGTGGCCAAATTTGGTGACAATTTGTCCAGTGGTTTTTGAGTTATGTTAATCCCACAAACTGACATTACATTTTTATTTTTTTTATTTATGTAATATAATATATTGTATATACATATAATATTTATAATATACAATGCAATATACTACTACTAATAATAATAATAATAATAATATGATGTTATAATTATATATTTATATTACATGTAATGTTATTAATATTATTTATTTATTTATTTATTTACGACATTTATATGCCGCTCTTCCCACCCCGAAGGGGAATCAGAGCGGCTTGCAAGGTATATATACCTATAATATATTATATTATTAGCATAGTACAATATCAGCATTAAACATTGCTACATTGCACCATACCACAATATCATAGTATTATTAGTAATATTACATGTAATATTAATATATAATTATAATATTATATTATATTTAGTATTATATTGCATTACATTATAATATTATAAATATTATATGTATATACAATATATTATATTATATTATTAGAATAGCACAAGAGACAATTACAATAAAATGATATAGTACAATATAGTAATATTTACTACTGATATTGTACTATGCTAATAATTTAATATATTGTATGTATATATCTTTTGTAAGCCACTCTGAGACCCATTCAGAGTGAGAAGGGCGGTATATAAATGTTGTAAATAAATAAGAACCTCTCCCTCCTTTACTACCGTCTCTCCTTTCCAGATTCTTAAACTCCTGTCGGGGAAGATTGTCATCGGCCACGCCATCCACAATGACTTCAAGGCCCTCAAGTATTTCCACCCAAAATCCCTCACCAGGGACACCTCCAAAATCCCTCTGCTCAATCGCAAGGCTGGCTTCCCAGAGAATGAGTCGGCCTCCTTGAAACGCCTCACCAAGCAGCTCCTCCACAGAGATATCCAGGTAAAGCACCTGTCCGGTACATACAATTCCTTAGCAGGGATAGGCTTCGGCAAGAGACTAGGGATGTCCTATTGCTGCTGCCAGTCAGCATTGACAGCCACCCATCTTCCCGAAAAGGAGATTGTTTTCCTGTGCGACATATCAAGGCAGCCTACTGTTTTTGTCCCATTGGCCCCTGGCTTTTAAAAGACCTTTTTTGTGTTTATGTGTGTCTTCAGGTTGTTTCTGGCAAGTCCCCTCAGCACAGACTGGGCACCTCTTTGTGGGTGAAACAATAATAATACCCTAAATACTCAAGTATAAGCCAACCTGAATATAAGTCGAGGCACTTAATTTGACCACAAAAAACTAGGAAAATGTATTGACTCGAGTATAAGCTGGGGGTGGGAAATACAGCAGCTATGGGTATATTTCAAAATAAAATAGATATCAATAAATTACATTAACTGAGGTATCAGTAGGTTAAATATTTCTGAATACTTTTACTCAAAAGGATTTAGAATGGTTAGAACAGTGGTTCTCAACCTGGGGTCCCCAGATGTTTTTGGACTTCAACTCCCAGAAATCCTAACAGCTGGTAAACTGGCTGGGATTCCTGGGAATTGTAGGCCAAAACACCTGGGGACCCACAGGTTGAGAACCACTGGGTTAGAAGAAGAGAGTTAAGACATAGACATGAAACTATAATATATTTTCTTTATAGGGAAAACTAGGAATCTAGACAAGAAATGGTATAACAAAATAGAGAACCCTTTTCTAAAAAACATATTGGGAATATGGTCTAAATATGAAGAAAAAATAATGCCATCGATATCCCCATTAACACCGGTGCTGATTACAAATAATTTCCCCATAAATCTCAAAAAGGAGTTGGAAAGTGAATTCAAGGAAAAAGGAATAACGAAATTAAAAGATTGGGAATCAAAGATGAAAAATATAGTTGAGATAAAGGTCCAGTTATCAGGAGGGAAATTGGATGGTATAAAGTTCTACAACTTGAAAGATGGTTAAGGGAAATAAGAAAGAAATATAAAGAAGAGAGAGAATTTACCAAATTTGAAGAAATGATTAGCCAAAGAGGGAGTAAGGAAGGAAAAGAAAGAACAAAAGGTATAACAAGTGATATCTACAAAATGCTGTTGGAAGGAGTCCAGGAGGAGGACCACCTTAAAAGAATGTGGGAGTTGGATTGTAATAAAGTAATACACCCACAAAACTGGAAAGGAATGTGGAATATGCGTATATTAAAAAATATGTCAATAAGAATAAAAGAGAATTATTACAAAGTGGTGTGGAGATGGTACCTCACACCAGTCAGATTAAATCAAATTGACAAGAAACATTCTAAGCAGTGCTGGAGGGGCTGTCAAGAAACTGGCACATATATACACATGTGGTGGTCTTGCAAATATGTTCAAAATTTTTGGGAAAATGTATTTCAAGAAATAAGAAGAATCACCCAAATAGAGATAACAGGAACACCGGAGATAGCACTGCTGTCATTTATTGACAATGTTAAAATACCAAAAGAACTAAAAGAATTAATTGCCAATCTGGTAACAGCAGCAAGATTATTAATAGCTAAAAAATGGAAAGAAGGAGGGGAGTGCCAATTGGAAGAGTGGTATAGGGAGATTTGGGACATCGCAATAAATGATAAACTGACAGGAAACATTAAGGTTAAAAGAGGATTATCAAAAAAAGATGATTTTGGGAAGATTTGGGGGAAATTGATAGAATATGTATATATAGAAGGTAAGGGGACCAAACCTGTAATAGAAACAACTGATTTTTGGGAATAAGTATTGTAATTGGCTGGTCGGGGGTGAAGGGTTAGCACTGGGTGATTGGGTGTAATGAAGCAGGAGAATGAATGATTTTGGGAAGATTTGGGGGGAAATTGATAGAATATGTATATATAGAAGGTAAGGGGACCAAACCTGTAATAGAAACAACTGATTTTTGGGAATAAGTATTGTAATTGGCTGGTCGGGGGTGAAGGGTTAGCACTGGGTGATTGGATGTAATGAAGCAGGAGAATGAAATATTATAGGTATCAAGACATACATGTTCTGTACAATTGTTAATGGGAAGTGATAAGTATAAGAATGTTTAAATACCGAATATGTTAAAGCTACAATAAATAAAAAAAATAAAAAATATTTCTGAATATTTACCCTATTTCAAAGAGAAACAGTAAACTAGCTTCTTAAGTAGAAAAGTAGGATCAACAAAAACAATATGGTATCAACAATAACATAATAACAACAACAATAATAATAAAACTTCATTTGTGTCCCGCCCTATCTCCCCATGGGGACTCAGGCCGGCTTCCAACATAGTAACAGGCAAACATTCTGTTGAGATTAACTTCACAATTCAGCAGCAGATCTGTTGCACAACTTCAGCGTTTTCCAGTAGCTTCTTCCTGCACAGTATTTTCAGTCAACTGCTCCCACAGCCTGCAGCCACGCTGGAACCTTTTATAGACACTTGAGCACATGCCCGGCCATTGTCAGTTTTACCATTGTCTTTCCCACAGTCTAGATGATATGACAAACTTACCACAGCACTCAGTTATATCTTGTCTTAGCAGACAGGTTCTTTTAATTACATATAGCCTTCGACGAACAGCATCACAGCACAAGGAGAAATATACACTGTACACGACTTCCTTATATACAATTCATTTACACAGCAATCACCGATTGGTTCCCAACTCATTGACTCAACTCAGACCCAGGATTGCATCATTCACAATCACCTGGACTAGGCCAGAACACATTCCCCAAATGATTCCCTATATACAGTTAATGCATGACTCAACATTTCCAATAGAAGCCTATTAGCAGTGCATGATTCAGCTATATTACATTACAATACATTGTAAAACCTGACACATTCAATGCCTGTATAATCAGTTCAGAGCTGGATATAGATCTATAATTATATATACTAATTTCACATATGCATTTCCCCCTGAAATGTTTGCAAATACTCTCTATATATGTGCATTTCCCTCCTGCAATATTTAGAAGTAACTGCCATTTATAATAACATTTTGAAAATTTTGTTAGAGTTCTGAAATTTTGACCAACAGAACTTTAGCAACACTGTAGAATCAAAGCACCAGCGCCTCCTAATTTTCACCACCAGAACGTTAGTATTGTAAGTACTTTAGAACCATGGATTGCACATGCCTAATGAATAATTATATCTATATAGGATTTGCAAAGACTTGCAAACATATGAGGGGAAAATTCATATATAAAATTATCTATCTATATGTATATGTATGTGTGTGTGTATACACACACACTAGCCATCCCCTGCCACGCGTTGCTGTGGCCCAATCTGTGTACATGTGAGTGTATATATTTGTGTATATGCTTGTGTATATATGTGGTTTTGTGCATGCATTGTAATGGTTTGTTTTTTTGCTTTTTAATTCTGTTCCGCTATGTTTTCCTGTGTTTTTATGAGTGATGGTCACTTGTTGGCCCAAGAGGTGTATTGTGTCCAAATTTGATGTCAATTGGTCTTGTGGTTTTCAGTTATGTTAATCACAGAAACGAACATTACATTTTTATTTATATAGATACACACACAAATATACAGATATATAGGTACTTCTATATGTTTATTGATATCTATATATCTGGAGCACCCGATGGTGCAGCAGGTTAAACCGTTGAGCTGCTTAACTTGCAGACCGAAAGATCGGCAGTTAAAATCCGGGGAGCAGGGTGAGCTCTGGCTGTTAGCCCCAGCCTCTGCCAACCTAGCAGTTCAAAAACATGCAACTGTGAGTAGATCAATATACATGAAGGTAGTGGCACTCCATGCGGTCATGCCAGCCACATGACCTTGGAGGTGTCTGTGGACAACACCGGCTCTTTGGCTTAGAAATTGAGATGAGGACCACTCCCCAGTCGGACACAACTAGACTTAATGTTAAGGGGAAACCCTTACCTTTTTATATCTACATAGGGTTTGTAGAGACTTGCAAACATGTGAGGGGAAAATCATATAAAAAATAATGCATACATATAGATACAGATACACAGGAACTTGGAAATCTCTAGATATTTATATATATACTAGCTGTACCCTGCCACGCGTTGCTGTGGCCCATTTCAGTCTTCCCTTTCTGCTTCCCTTCCTTCCTTTTTTGTTACCTTCCTTCCTTTATGTCTTCTGTGTTTCCTTCTTCCCTTCCTTCCTTCTCCTCCTCCTTCTCCTTCCTTCCTTCCTTCCTTCCTTCCTTCGTCCTCCCTCCCTCCCTCATTCCTCCCTTCGTTCTGTTTCTGCCTGCCCCTTCCCCTCCGTGATGTTGTGCCCCTCGTTCCCTCGTTCCTTCCTTCCTTCCTTCCTTCCTTCCTTCCTTCTCCTTCCTTCCTTCCTTTTTTCTTTCTATCTCTCCTTCCATCTCTCCCTCTTTTTCCTTCCTTCCTTCCCTTTTTCTTTCTTTCTCTCCTTCCTTCTCTCCCTTTTTCATATCGTACTATCATATTATCCCCGATGCCTTTGCCCAATGAGTTGGATTCCCAGGGCAAGGGGCGCGAGTCTCCTTAGAGCGCAGCTTGTGGGCGGAGCTCCGGGACAGGCCCCGCCCCCTCCTTCCCCCTCCCTTTGCGGCGGGGCCCTGATTCAGGCGCGGCACGTGCCGGATCCCGGGGCATTTAAACGCCGGCCGGCCTCCAGCCCCGAGAAGGGAGTAGACCCGCCTCCTTCTTGCTTTTCTCCCTTCTCCGGTTCGCTTCCCTCCCTCTGAAGCCGCCCCAGCCATGAAAGCCATCCCTGCGCCCGGGATCCGCTTCCTCCGCTCCTTCTCCAGGGACAGCTGCTAAGCAAGGCTTCTGTGCCCACCATTCCTCTCCTAGGCAAACGCTTCGGAGGCTTCTTCTACTGCTAGCCAAGCTTAGCCATTGTCAAAACCCGGGAGGCTGCTCCTTCCCTGCAATCCTCGGCTTCCCTTCCCTTTTGTCCTCCTCCAAAACAAAGCGCGTCTGTGTGGGAGATGCTGCCCAGAGGGGGGGGTGAGGGGCGGCGGGTGTGCGCGTGGCGGGGAGTTTCCGCCGCGCGCGCGTGTGTGCCGCCGGGGGGGGGGCGAGGGGCGGCGGGTGCGCGCGTGCCGGGGAGTTTGCGCCAGTGCGCATGTTCAGTTGTTTTGTGGTGTTTTCGTCGTTGCAGTTGTGTTTGCTTTACTTTGGAGTAGATTAGTTTGTAGCGAGTGGGTTGTCCTAGGGGCATGGGAATGTTGGTTCAGTTTCGTTGGGGGGTTGTGGAGTTATGCGACGCCGTACGACGCCCCCTACAGATTTATATATATAGATATAGGATTTGCGAAGACTTGCAAACATATGACGGGGAAAACTTCCAAGAGAACAAAAATGCACATGTAAAGTTAATACATTTCGATACACACACACAAAAAAAAAAAACCAGGAAAATTGGGCGGGTTTGAAAGAGAGAGAAATATATCATATATTGCAAGCAATGGCCTCCAGGCTCCACTGCCTGTCTTGATCCTATTATAAGCCGAGTGAGGCTTTTTCAGATTAAAAAAAGGGGGTCTTTGATCTTTGATATTGTTGTTTTTAAATTGTTTTACATTGTTTTTAAATTGTGTTAGATTTTAGCCTGTTCTTGTAAGCCGCTCCGAGCCCCAGGGAAGTGGCGGCATATAAGTTTGAATAATAAATAAATAAATAAAATATATACAGTAATACATTACATAGTCCTAGACACTTGGGAAGTGTCTGACGTGTGATTCAATACAAAAGTCAGCATAGTGATCATGTTGTGTTTCAAATAACAATAACAATAATAATAATAATAATAATAATACTACACTTTATTTATATTCTGCTCTATCTCCCCAAGAGGACTCAGAGCAGATTATAGTGACCTTGTTTGCTGTGTACTAATCTTATTGTGTTTCAAATAATAATAATAATTTATAAATAAAATATGATAATGAATTTTATAATTAATTATTAATTATTAAAATCAATTATTATTAAGTATACTAATTAATAATAAATAATTATAAATAAATTATTTATTACCTGCCTCTCCTTTTGGCTCCTTCTGCAGAGCAACAAAAATAAAAAAAGACCTTAGCTACAGACCTAAACTAAGCTAATTTAGCTTAGTTTAGGCCCGTAGCTTAGCTTAGCTTAGTTTAGGCCCGCAGCATAGCTTAGGCCTGTAGCTTAGGCCCGTAGTGTAGCTTAGGCCCGTAGCGTAGCTTAGGCCCATAGCTTAGCTTAGTTTAGGCTCATAGCTTAGTTTAGCTTAGGCTCGTAGCTTAGTTTAGCTTAGCTTAGGCCCATAGCTTAGCTTAGTTTAGCTTCGGCCCGTAGCTTAGGCCCATAGGTTAGGCCCATAGCTTAGTTTAGGCCCGTAGCTTAGCTTATCTTAGGCCCGTAGTTTAGCTTAGCTTAGGCCCATAGCTTAGTTTAGCTTAGCTACGGCCCGTAGATTGGGCCCCTAGTTTAGGTCCGTAGCTTAGCTTAGGCCCGTAGCTTAGCTTAGGCCCGTAGTTAGCTTAGCTTAGGCCCGTAGTTTATCTTAGCTTAGCTTAGGCCCATAGCTTAGCTTAGGCCCATAGTTTAGCTTAGCTTAGGCCCGTATCTTAGCTTAGTTTAGGCTCTTAGCTTAGTTTAGCTTAGGCCCGTAGTTTAGCTTAGACCCGTAGCTTATCTTAACTTCGGCCTGTAGCTTAGGCCCATAGGTTAGGCCTGTAGCTTAGCTTAGCTTAGCTTAGGCCCGTAGTTTAGCTTAGTTTAGGCCCGTAGTTTAGTTTAGCTTAGCTTAGCTTAGCTTAGGCCCATAGTTTAGCTTAGCTTAGTTTAGCTTAGGCCTGTAGCTTAGCTTAGTTTAGGCCCATAGCTTAGCTTAGCTTAGGCCTGTATCTTAGCTTAGCTTGAGCCCTTAGCTTAACTTAGGCCCGTAGCTTAGCTTAGCTTAGGCCCGTAGCTTAGCTTAGCTTAGGCCCGTAGCTTAGCTTAGCTTAGGCTCGTATCTTAGCTTGGCTTAGGCCCAGAGCTTAGCTTAGCTTAGGCCTGTAGCTTAGCTTAGTTTAGGCCCGTAGTTTAGCTTAGTTTAGGCCCATAGCTTAGCTTATTTTAGGCCCATAGCTTAGTTTAGCTTAGGCTCTTAGCTTAGTTTAGGCCCGTAGCTTAGCTTAGCTTAGGCCCGTAGCTTAGCTTAGCTTAGCTTAGCTTAGGCTCGTAGTTTAGCTTAGCTTAGACCTGTAACTTAGCTTAGCTTAGGCCCATAGCTTAGTTTAGTTTAGGCCCATAGCTTAGCATAGCTTAGGCCCATAGCTTAGCTTAGCTTAGGCCCATAGTTTAGCTTAGCTTAGGCCCTTAGCTTACCTTAGTTTACCTTAGTGTAGCTTAGCTTAGGCCCGTAGCTTAGCTTAGCTTACCTTACCTTACCTTAGTTTAGGCACGTAGCTTAGCTTAGTTTACCTTACCTTAGCTTAGTTTAGGCACGTAGCTTAGCTTAGTTTACCTTAGTGTAGCTTAGTTTAGGCCCGTAGCTTAGCTTAGCTTACCTTAGCTTAGTTTAGGCACGTAGCTTAGCTTAGTTTACCTTAGTGTAGCGTAGCTTAGCTTAGGCTCGTAGTTTAGCTTAGCTTAGACCTGTAACTTAGCTTAGCTTAGGCCCATAGCTTAGTTTAGTTTAGGCCCATAGCTTAGCATAGCTTAGGCCCATAGCTTAGCTTAGTTTAGGCCCATAGTTTAGCTTAGTTTAGGCCCTTAGCTTACCTTAGTTTACCTTAGTGTAGCTTAGCTTAGGCCCGTAGCTTAGCTTAGCTTACCTTAGCTTAGTTTAGGCACGTAGCTTAGCTTAGTTTACCTTAGGCCCGTAGCTTAGCTTAGCTTAGCTTAGGCTCGTAGATTAGCTTAGTTTAGGCCCTTAGCTTAGGCCCGTAGCTTAGCTTAGCTTAGCAGAGCAACAAAAATAAAAAAAGACCTAAAGAAAAGTTCCATAGACAACATCTGGATCAGTTGAGTCTGTATCCCAATTTCTCACGGATCCGGGGACTGCCTCTGGTGCTGAGCGAGGCAATCAAGGGACTTAATGGGGTTTTGCTTGGGATGCTTCCTCCCTCTCTCAGCCTGCCTTTCTCTCCCCTCCAGGTGGGCCAGAATGGCCATTCCTCCGTGGAGGACGCCCGGGCCACCATGGAGCTGTACAAGGTGATTGAAGTGGATTGGGAGAGGCACCTGGCCAGCTGCCCACCTCAGGACTGATTCTCTCCGGAAGCCCTGAGGGACATTGGCCAAGGAGCTCCCGGGAAATGGCTTGCCCCGGAGCCCCTGCAGGCAGGGCGGCAGCGCAGGACGGAAGGCCCTGCCAATCCGAAGAGGGGACGTAGGGTGGGGGGTGGGCAAGGAAAGGGTCCATTACATTGTTTCCACCCAAGGCCGGTGTTGGCTTGCTTCTCTGAGGAGCACAAGGCCCAGAAATCTGCAGCAGTGCTATCAACCCCTGGGTTCTTTTCCTTGGAGGGAAGGCATTGCAGAATCAAACCTGGGTGGACCAGCTACTCCTCTTAACAACCAATTGTTTTTGGTTCTTAAACAATCACACATAAATGTGGAACAAGGGGACAACCCTTGAACCCATTTCTCAAGTGCTCTCCTTGGGCTCGCTGATGCTGAAACGTGCCTGGGAGCAACTCCTTCTGGTGCCTTTGTTTGGCCCAAATCAGGGCTTGGCCTCCGGCTTCGGTCTCCCTCTGGCTCAAGCTCCCTCCCTTTCAAAATGGGCTGTGTGGGTAAGCGCCATAGTTACTTTACTTACTTAGGCGATCCCTTGTTGTCCGGGATCCTGGCAGTGGGTATGGAGGTGACTGGAACCGTATTCTTCACCTGCATCTTCTCCCACAGTGAGGGCATCAATTTCTAGGTGGAAGGCATTCCCGGACAGGTTGGCTTGACGCGCTTTCCTCTTGGCACATTTCTTTCACCCTCTATTCGTGCCTTTTCAAATTCTGCAGCACTGCTGGTCACAGCTGACCTCCAGCTAGAGCGCTCAAGGGCCAGGACTTCCCAGTTCCCCCTCGGTGTCTATGCCACAGTTTTTAAGGTTATAATAATAATAATAAACTTTATTTGTACCCCGCTACCATCTCCCCGAGGGACTCGGTGAGGCTTATATGAGGCCAAGCCCAAAGTACATCAAACAAAACATCAATAAACACAACATCAATAAAACAGTCAATAAAATACAAATAATAATAATAATAATAATAACACTTTATTTGTACCCCGCTACCATCTCCCCAAGGAACTCGGTGCAGCTTACATGAGGCCGAACCCAAAGTATATCAAGAAAACATCAATAAACACAACACCAATAAAACAGTCAATAAAATACAAATAATAATAATAATAATAATAATAATAATAATAATAATACTTTATTTGTACCCCGCTACCATCTCCCCAAGGGACTCGGTGTGGCTTACATGAGGCCAAGCCCAAAGTATATCAAACAAAACATCAATAAACACAACACCAATAAAACAGTCAATAAAATACAAATAATAATAATAATAATAATAATACTTTATTTGTACCCCGCTACCATCTCCCCAAGGGACTCGGTGTGGCTTACATGAGGCCAAGCCCAAAGTACATCAAACAAAACATCAATAAACACAACACCAATAAAACAGTCAATAAAATACAAATAATAATAATAATAATACTTTATTTGTACCCCGCTACCATCTCCCCAAGGGACTCGGTGCAGCTTACATGAGGCCGAACCCAAAGTATATCAAACAAAACATCAATAAACACAACATCAATAAAACAGTCAATAAAATACAAATAATAATAATAATAATAACACTTTATTTCTACCCCGCTACCATCTCCCCAAGGGACTCGGTGCGGCTTACATGAGGCCAAGCCCAAAGTACATCAAACAAAACATCAATAAACACAACATAAATAAAACAGTCAATAAAATACAAATTGTATAAATCAAATAAACAAAAAACAATCAATATTTATGTATTTATTTATTTACCTTACTTATATACCGCTGTTCTCAGCCCGAAGGCGACTCACAGCGGTTCACAACAAATACGAACAGCAAAAATTCAGTGCTACAGTATAGAAACAGTTAACAACCTAACACATTACACAATTAATAAACAGTTACTACAATACCCATTCACTGTCGTCTCGTCATCAAAAACATGTTCCAGATTCGTCATCCATTGTTCCATTCCAGTGTTCATTAACCAATCATTGCACTAATTATTCGAACGCCTGCTCAAACAGCCAGGTCTTCACTTTCCTGCAGAATACCATTAGAGATGGTGCTAGTCTAATGTCCGTAGGAAGGGTGTTCCACAGCCGAGGAGCCACCACCGAGAAGGCCCTATCTCTCGTCCCCGCCAGCCGTGCTTGAGAAGCAGGCGGGATCGAGAGCAGGGTCTCCCCGGAAGATCTCAAAGTCCTGGTGGGTTCATAGGCAGAGATGCGGTCGGATAGGTAGCTTGGGCCGGAACCGTTTAGGGCTTTAAAGGCCAACGCCAGCACTTTGAATTCAGCCCGGTAGCAGATCAGTAGCCAGTGGAGTTGGCGCAACACGGGGGTTGTATGCTCCCTGCGCTCCGCTCCTGTTAAAATCAATAGTGACATAAACAATTTTAAAAATGGCCGGGCCAAATGTAATAGATTAAAATTGAAAATGTGCTGACGTGAACAAGGTAAAATATAACTAGGATAGGATTTTTCGGAGAGAAATGAGGGAGCACAGTCCATCCTAAGTCAGTAGTAAAGTGCATTATTATTTATTTATTTAAAACACTTATATTCCGCCCTTCTCACCTCGAAGGGGACTCACAACATATACAGGGCAAACATTCAATGCCTGGGTACAATACATAAAGATTAAAAAAACATTTATCTAAATATTAAAATACACCATTAAAAATAACACAATTTAAAGGTTCTTGTGGGTTTTTTCGGGCTATAGAGCCATGTTCTAGAGGCATTTCTCCTGACGTTTCGCCTGCATCTATGGCAAGCATCCTCAGAGGTAGTAAGGTGAGGTCTGAGGATGCTTGCCATAGATGCAGGCGAAACGTCAGGAGAAATGCCTCTAGAACATGGCTCTATAGCCCGAAAAAACCCACAAGAACCTAGTGATTCCAGCCATGAAAGCCTTCGACAATACATTAACACAATTTAAAGCCATCCTAGCCATCCGCATCAAATCCAATTGGCCCGGTCACCATTCCCATTGTTGCTTCATTGCCCTGTCCCGAAGGCTTGGTCCCACAGCCAAGTTTTTACCATCCTTCTAAGGGACAGGAGGGAGGGGGAGCAATCACCGAGAAGGCCCTGTCTCTTGTCCCCATCAATCGCGCCTGTGACAATGGCGGGACGGAAAGCAGTGCCTCCCCAGAGGATCTTAATGTCCGCGATGGTACATAGAGGGAGATGCGTTTGGACAGGTAATTTGGGTTTTTTGCCCATGCTCTCTTATGTATATTGGCCAAACAAGCAGACAAGTTAAACAACGGATCATCGAACACAAGAGCAAAATTAGAAATCATTCCGCTGATTCCATTTCTCCAAGCAGTCATGCCAGCCTCATGACCTTAGAGGTGTCTATGGACAACACCGGCTCTTAGAAATGGAGATGAGCACCAGAGTCCCTGAGTCGGACACAATTAGACTTAATGTCAAGATGAAACATTTACCTATCGTACAAAAACCTCTCTATCTGCTGTGTCCGCTTTCCCTTGGTATCTCTTTGTTTTCTCTTTCTTTTTGGTGCCTGAACTGTATTTCTCAATGCCCTAAAGTGCTAGAAATTGGGGAAAGTGATGGAAAATTCCTTGGCAGGGAAGAGTTCTTATTTGGGAAGCAAAGTCTCTCGTTTGCCTTATCCTCCGCGTCGCAAGGCGGGAGGAGGCTTGTGTCTCTTAGGGCAGAAAACAAGCACCGCTAATTCACTTGCCCCAAATTCTGCCTTTTGTTCAGAAAGCGCATTTGGTCATCAAACAAAACGCTGTTTGAAAGAGGAGCGTTGAAAACGAATGCTTTTGGCGCCTAGGCGGCAAACCGGTTTCGTAGATGGCTCCGAAGGCTCTCCTACAACAAAAGGCCTTCTCCCTGGGTGTCATTTTGCCTGATTTTTGTCTGAGTTGGCTGGGGGACTGCTTGCTTTTTGTTTTGGTTTTTTTTTTCAAAAAGGAGATTAAATGTTTGACCATTTGCCACCTTTTGGTGCTTCTGTTGGTGGGCCACTTGTCCTCCTGACTCTGGTTTAAACACACTCTGGAGCAGTGTTTCTCTACCTGGGGGTTGGGAACCCTGGGGGAGTCATGAAGGGGTTTCAGAGCGGTCAACAAAGACCATCTGAAAACACATATTTCTGATGGTCATAGGCAGAAAAGCCTGAAGATCTCTCCGCCTGTCCTACTCTTCCTTTTTGGAAACAGACTGCAAATCCTCCCACTAAAAGACCTGTTTCTGAAACTCCAAGTGGGGAGGAGAGAGCAGGAATGCACCGCATGTGTGAGTGAGGGGCAGCATGCGAGGCTGGAGGGAGGCTCATGCCAGCAAATCCCTCTCAGCCAAGGGGAGGGCTGTTTCTGAGACTCCAAGTGAGGAGGGGAGAGCAGGCGTGCTCAGCAATTGTCAGCGTGATGCGATGTGATTGGCTGGCCTCTCAGCTGGCCTCTCAGCCAAGGGGAGGGCTGTTTCTGAGACTCCAAGTGAGGAGGGGAGAGCAGGCGTGCACCGCATGTGTGAGTGAGGGGGAGCATGCGAGGCTAGAGGGAGGCTCCTGCCAGCAAATCTCAGCCAAGGGGAGTGCTGTTTCTGAGACACCAAGTGAGGAAGGGAGAGCAGGCGTGCACCGCATGTGTGAGTGAGGGGGAGCATGCGAGGCTGGAGGGAGGCTCCTGCCAGCAAATCTCAGCCAAGGGGAGTGCTGTTTCTGAGACACCAAGTGAGGAAGGGAGAGCAGGCGTGCACCGCATGTGTGAGTGAGGGGGAGCATGCGAGGCTGGAGGGAGGCTCCTGCCAGCAAATCTCAGCCAAGGGGAGTGCTGTTTCTGAGACACCAAGTGAGGAGGGGAGAGCAGGTGTGCACCTCATGCATGAATGAGGGGGAGCATGCAAGGCTGGAGGCAGGCTCATGCCAGCAAATCCCTCTCAGCCAAGGGGAGGGCTGTTTCTGAGATTCCAAGTGAGGAGGGGAGATCAGGCATGCACTGCATGTGTGAGTGAGGGGGAGCATGCGAGGCTGGAGGGAGGCTCCTGCCAGCAAATCCCTCTCATCCAAGGGGAGGGCTGTTTCTGAGACTCCCAAGTGAGGAGGGGAGAGCAGGTGTGCACTGCATGCGTGAATGAGGGGGAGCATGCAAGGCTGGAGGGAGGCTCCTGCCAGCAAATCCTTCTCATGCAAGGGGAGGGCTGTTTCTGAGATTCCAAGTGAGGAGGGGAGATCAGGCATGCACTGCATGTGTGAGTGAGGGGGAGCATGCGAGGCTGGAGGGAGGCTCCTGCCAGCAAATCCCTCTCAGCCAAGGGGAGGGCTGTTTCTGAGACTCCCAAGTGAGGAGGGGAGAGCAGGTGTGCACTGCATGCGTGAATGAGGGGGAGCATGCAAGGCTGGAGGGAGGCTCCTGCCAGCAAATCCTTCTCATGCAAGGGGAGGGCTGTTTCTGAGACTCCAAGTGAGGAGGGGAGAGCAAGCATGCACTGCATGTGTGAGTGAGGGGGAGCATGCGAGGCTGGAGGGAGGCTCCTGCCAGCAAATCCCTCTCAGCCAAGGGGAGGGCTGTTTCTGAGACTCCAAGTGAGGAGGGGAGAGCAGGCGTGCACTGCATGTGTGAGTGAGGGGGAGCATGCGAGGCTGGAGGGAGGCTCATGCCAGCAAATCCCTCTCAGCCAAGGGGAGGGCTGTTTCTGAGACTCCAAGTGAGGAGGGGAGAGCAGGCGTGCTCAGCAATGTGTGAGTGAGGGGGAGCATGCGAGGCTGGAGGGAGGCTCATGCCAGCAAATCCCTCTCAGCCAAGGGGAGGGCTGTTTCTGAGACTCCAAGTGAGGAAGGGAGAGCAGGCGTGCACCGCATGTGTGAGTGAGGGGGAG